TCATCGGAGCATTCTCAAATATGCATATATATAAGAAAAAAACATCAGAAACTTGCATTTTTGGAATAATCAATATGAATTCTTTCTTTAAGAATAATTTCTGTAATTACTTTTTGTTGTTTTTCTTTCATAAGTACTTGTCAATACTACCAAGGCCGCCATTCTCACTTGAGTAAGAGCCTGTTCACAACCAAGTTGATAGTGGACTAACTGATCCGTGGATCAAATATGGCCAACCCACTCGAAAGCTTTCTGCATAATCCCCTAATGGATTTCCCATGGCGATTACGCAACAAGCTTTCAAAGCGTCAGCCATATTTTACCCATGGATCATTCAGTCCATGGAGAAACTTGGCTCTGAACAGGCCCTTAGAAGGAATTGAAAAACAGAAATGCTGGGGCATATGAAGATGAGGCATCTGAGGTAAAATATTCTGTACATGTAATACAGCAAGGTTCAATAGTAACTGAGTAACCATGCAGAAAAAATGGGGGATGAAGTAAAAGAGCTCTTTCTGTCCTGCCATTATTGTATGTATCATGTTTTTCACGCTGCTTTGCAGTCTAAATTTATTTAGCTGACAACTAAAAACAAAATCAGAACGACTTGTTTGTTTTATCTTAGGTTTCATATTTTCACAGGAACAAGGCAAACAGACAACTGAGAACTTAACTTCTTATTGTATCCCTCTCTATCTGGTTTTATTTTACAAAGCCAACAATAGAAAAGAAATCAACCCTGGTAATTTAAGCTGTCTCAAGGTGCAAATCAGTTCTAGGTTTTGAAGTTTTTCCAGGAATCATGAGTGTTATTGGATGCGTATCATGCTAAAAATAATTAAGTGCTCTAGATTTAAGCATGCTGGTGTTTCAAATTTCTAGCTAAGATTTTAATGAATCAATAGAAGACACAACATATTAGTTTTTAAAGTTAAAAATAAAACCGACAATATAAGCTACAGTTTCAAGGCTGAAACCAGTGTACAGAACTTACATCTCCTCAGACATCAAGATTTCTTTTTCAAAATAACAAAACAATGATGAGCTAACTATGAAAAAATGTAATAGAGAAAAAAAGATCGATATAATGCCTCCCACACCAGAGAGAGAGAGAGAGAGAGAGAGAGAGAGAGAGAGAGAATACTGGAAGTAGACTCCCTACTTTATTAATTATACGGGTGAACAATTTGCACTTGCTGACTTGGAGTGTCGGTTCCTGTGCAACACTTTCACAGGTGGTCCATAAATAAAGCCATTTATCATTATTACTTTTTTCATAGGGGGCTAGTTAGTTACTGGTTCCAATGCTACCCCAGCTACTTCTGTAAGTATAGGTACCATGATTACAGTATAGAAGAAAAAGAGCAAAGAAAAAAGTATGAAGAACTAACTAACTACTATCTGCTTCTGGTTGTACAGTGAACCACATAAGGAATGATGAATGGATAAAATAAACAAATGTACAATAAAATGAAGGAATGAATTTTCAATCTACTAAAAAAAAACCTTCTGACTTTAAAATATGCCCTAGTATTTTTAAAGGTTGTTCAACAAACTAAAAAAATAACAGAACATATACAAAACATCACAGCAGATTAACTATAAATTTGTAAATTTTAAAGTTTCTTGCATATTATGCAATGCAGCCTTCATCAGCCACTGCCTGTATAATGCATGTTTGTCTGTGCATTCGTGTACAAACAAACGTATGCATACAAATGTGTTAGCAGTTGACAACCTGCAAACATCTCTCTCACTCTCTGAAGCACCTGGTACCAAGGAGAAACAAAAGTTTGGTAAGGAAAACAGAGTCACGATACTGCCTATCATTGACAGAAAACCATTGTCAAAGTGACAATGAAAAAAAAAACATGCCTTAGACTATATAAATGTTCAGAGTGCATGGTCATATCGGCAAGCAAGTTCAGACAAGTTTGTGTCTGGAACATTTTGGGTCAATGAGTGATCAACATAGGTTTCCATTCAATCCACAAGTTAGTTCACAATTCGGTTCAAAGAGTTCCCTGTCTGAACTGTCTTTCAGTTCATATGGTGTCACGTTATATTGTGTGTGTAAAACTTTTCTTTTAAAACTGTGAACTAAATAGCTGTGCAAGAGGCACGACAGATTTTGATCAATATTATAGCTGGTAATTAACTTACATGACAGCAGACTGTGGAGTTATGTAATTATAAGCAGAGTGCTTTGTCGTGTTCC